TCGGCCTAGGCTTCTGCCCAACCCAGCAAAAAGGCTTTATTTGTCATCCAAAGTAACGGAAGCTGCAGGGCCACCATATGCATCCTCTGTTTATAGTCAGTAATTGGCCAGATGTGATTATGTAGTCCCGTCTAAAGTAAATAAAGCCCAGCCACCGGTAATACGGGATCGGTGGTAATAGGGCTTTTTTACAGGTGGAGCTGGGGAACGCACAGGCGATGAGGTCAACAGTATTGTGCCCATCAGGTGGGACCATATAACCACATGTAATAATGCGACGGTATAAAACAGGACGAAAGTGTACTTACATGTCCAATTGAACTTCTGAAGACCGTTTAATGTGCCAATGTTCGCCTTCCGGAAGGTGGACTAAAATAACAAATTGTGGCCCAGTACATGAAGACCGCCCATTCGCGGGTGTGTCATCTCCGGCTGCAACATCAGTCTTCCCAACAGCTAATCGGTGAGACGATACACTGAGCGATTTCCTAACACGTTAGGGGTTTGCTTATGAGATTATTGGACGTTCAAGTGGAAAGACAGCAATTATTATGTATTTTTAGGTCGTGATAAATGTTATGAAAGACTATCCTCTTGAAAATATATACCACCCTCAGTTTATTTGGCTTGCCTGGAGGCCTTCTGTTCATGTATATAATGCATTTTTGGCAAACAAGACTCTGTTTAAGAAAATGCTAGTTGTAAAAGCAAAAAATAATCCACCCCCTAATTTCTCTTATCATCTACATTTCCATTCTGAGGGCCTTACTGAGGAGGAGGAGGAGGAGGAGGAGGAGGAGGAGGAGGAGGGTAGATCGACGGTTGGCTCTTTGGATTAGTTCATCAGTCCATAATCAGTGACGGCAACAAACTGCAGGGAGTGAATGCCTAGGCGGTCAAGCAACTCTAAAAAGACGTTTGATTGTCTCCACGACAGTTCGATCGTTGTTCTCGACGACATCAACCATGTGCCCCACAGCAGGGTGACCTCAAGGACGGTGACATGTGCGTAAACTAGTATACAGTGATGGCAGGCTTGCGCTGCATCTGCCTCAATTTTCCCTCCTTACCGAACTGAGCCCGGGGTTGGCGCGGCGTGAACCCACGGTTAGAAGTGTCAGCACACCCAGGATGTGGTCCCCGTGTTGCTTTAACGCAACTCCCGGACGAGCCGTTGTGGGGGGGGGGGGGGGGGGGGGGGGGGGCAAAGCGTCAACACGTGGTTTCGACAGTCACCACGGCTACTCGTGTTTGATGCAATAATGATTTAGCCGTCCGCATCGGAGGCCTTAATCGCCGCGATTTGACTACTAGGGTTGATTTTTAGCAAAGTAATGACTAAGCCGTTCGTCCCACGGGCACTGCCAGAGAGAACAGAGCTCGCCTAAGCGCTTCCCCGGCGGCGCTGGCCGCAGAGAACCATGACTCATTGTCTGTGAATCACACGGCTCCCGTTGTGAGGATTTTGGCTTCCTCTAAGCGGAATGTGTGACCGAGTCCCGTCGAATGAGCCACGACATGACAAAAAGTGTCAATCGCCCCCATTGCGACACCGATACTTGTTCTGATATTCGCGTTCGAGGTGATCTTCTTGTCTTTTCAGTGAAGCTCCCTCTTGCCCGCAATCACACTACGATTCGTAAGGAATTTTTGTGGGCTTTTCGATTAAGCCGGAACTGTCTTGCCGTTGTCACTTTACACAAGTGGTGGTATCATGGTAGGGCGGCTAACGGCATCCGAGATGTTACCAAGGGCGTCCGCAAAAATTGGCGTCGCGCGGGTTTTGATTTTTCATGTCGGCTTTGCATAAGGCGTTTCGCAAAGTTAAGCCATTCTCTAAGAGCTCGGGCAGAAATCCTAATCAATAGTAGGGCAAGTCTGATTTTTAGGTGACACGTCAAAAGGAGAAGAGGCGCTCGCGAGAGAGGTTCACTGGTCAGACATTTCGAGCAGTTATTTCGCCTACCCATCTTCACAGACCAGAAGGTCGTGAGCACAGCCCCCATTATGTGGCGCACTTTGTTTGATGCGTAGCCCACCAGTGGCGCTTGAGTGGCTGAATCCGATTCGCATTTCACCGTGACTTGTACCAGCCCCTCCCCCTCCCCTCTCGTCGACTGCGGTGATAGTTGACGGTCCCGATTGCCCCGCGCCGTCAAATAGGTTCGTAAAAACGGATAGGGGAAGGCAAATACAGTAGGTTGACTAACTCATGAAATGTCAACCGAAATTCCGAAATACGTCTTCGTTTCAAAAAGATTAATTAAGTAGGATTGTTAAACCAATCATCATGCAGCACAATTATATAATAGTGCAGTTACCTCGTGATGCCGGCTTTCGAATAAACCTACTTCCGGCGGCATGCAAAAACTACACTCTGTAAAAATGGTTACTTATATAGCCTGAATTTTTCTCATTGATTTTCGATGCCCCTAGAAGCCCAGTTATATTTCATTGAACACATAAATAAAAATATTCATTCTTTTGCTCATTCGGTAGAAACTTACGTCTTCTTCCAATTTCATGCTCGAAGGAGGGACATAATTCGGTTTTTAAAAAGTTTCTAATTGTAGGACTTTTAAATACCGTGAAATGACCGTTCATAAATCGTCACGTCTCTGCATTTACCGATGTGGCTTGTAAAGTTAACACTATTGCTCAAATTCACTGCTTAATTTTAGAAACCCCATATGGTCTCCTCTTAATACCGTAGAGAAATGTATGGTTTTCCGTACCCGAAAATAAACGGCTTGCGGTTTGGAAACCAGCATTTCACCCTGACTTGTACCAGCCCCGCCCTCGTCGACCGCGCAGATAATTGACGGTCCCGCGCCGTCTAGAAGGTTCGTAAAACGAGATAGAGGGAGGGCAAATAAAGGTGGCGGTTAACAGAGCCGTCGGTGGAAATACAGACTTCTTGCATCTTCCTTGCTGTATGATCAACACCTCGGCCTACGGCCTCAACTTTTAAGAGGTGTTATATTTGCGCAGCATGGGTTGCCACCTCCGACTTTGGGTCCAACCTTCGCACGCCAAGCGATGCTCGTGCATTCGAGTTTTCAGCCACCGGCCGGTTTCCCCATCGTAGTTGCACACCCAACAGCTGCACTGAAGTCGGTAGACAAAGGCCGAATCTCCTGTTTAGAGATAGGGCCGTTTGGCAGCATCAACTGCCGGCGGATTGTTGAGTCAAAGCTGTGAGCAGCTCCTGCTCTGAGTGGCGGGAGGCATCTAGCCACGGCTTCGGAGACCTCCTTTATGTACTGAATGCTCCGCCATTCCGTTTTCTTTGTTGCGTTCAACGTCGTTTAACGATTTCTTACGGCTAACCGCTGGCTCTGATGAGTATCTGAAAAGAACATAATAACTAGGATCCCTGTTTTCCTGTTTTTTTGCCGTGATTCCTTGTGAAAATTCATCGGTGACTAATTTAGTGATTTGTGTATAGATCCATTATGAGCGTTGTGCCTGTCACTTTCCTAAATACGTTGGTTTATAGACTACAGCAATCTTCGCAACATATGAGCGCATCAAGAAAAGTAAGTGAAATGTTCTCTTTTTGTGCTATCATGAAATCTATTCTCGGAAAGACGGCCTTGAGAGGCTCCTCAAAAGGTGAACACCTGGTCACATTTGCTGACTTTGCGGATGCTATTCACGTCTTCTGTTGAGAAATTTTCCCTGCGACGTTAAAAAAAACAGTAAATCCAAAGATGTGGTTCTCGAGTCGCGAAAATTCTCATGGGAAGATTCAGAAGACTAGTTAGCGGGCAAACGCGTGCCTCGACAAATTTCCGGCGGGCAAGTGCATTCATATGGGAACGGAGCACAAGCAAATAATGTGAGAGGAAAAAGGAATGGATTACAGTCCGTCTTTTCCCACAAGTGCGCTGTGAGAACAGGGCAGAAGGAATAAGGGACGGGGTGTTAGGAGGCAGTGAGGTTTAGGCATTTTTTTTATTTGTATATGAATCAATCAAATAAAAAACTGCAGCAAAGGGCCGTTCTTGACTTGATGATAATTCGCTTGCATCATAATCTTTAATGCTCTTCGCTCGAGGACTTGATTGCTATAGCTGGTACGCAGTTGCATAGGTTGTGGTTAGGGATAAGGGTTAGGGTTGGAGGATGGGCGTTAGGGCAACTATTTCTCAACCAACCAAAGTACAACCGCGCATTCCCAATATTTATTCTCTTGCATACAACTACTTGACCCCATCGCCTGTATATTCCCAGGCTCCGCCTGTTGGGGAACAGTCACATACTGCAAGTTTCTCGCGTGTGTTTGAAAGTCAGCCGCTCACTTAGGGCAAAATTAAAGTTGAAGACAAAAACGGTAGTTCGGGGTTGTCGTGCCTCTTTTGGCCTTTTAGGACGCAGCAGACTACTAAACACTAGAATCTATTACACGTTCGTGCGAGTGTAAAATCCCAGTGACTAGGAGCTTCTGCATTTCCAATTCAGTGGATTTCATGCTACTAGGGTGCGATGTCAAGTGGAAATTCCGAAGCGCCGGCTAAGTTGGAGACCGGCCACTGTAGAAAATAGAACCTATACGTATACTTGCGCCCTATAAGCCCCCCCCCCCCCCTACGACTCCAGTCTAGAGCAAAATGACTAGGAAGTCGAACTGGGTGTGCTGGACACAGCGAGAGGAAACCACCGTTCCTGAATTGTTTAGCTCGGGGCAATTTTTCGTAGTGTTAAAGAAGCTCATATGCTGAAGGCAAAACCAAGGAGCTTGTGACAGTAATGTCGAAGTTTGTTAATCTCCCCGGAAATCAAGCAACAGAAGTTGTAATGCTGGACATCACGCAGATTTCCCAAGTCAGAATTCAGGGAAGACGGACTGGGTTGGTGAAAGTTACTGGGTAACGATAGGGTGTAGAACCCCAAGTAGATGGGAACTGCAAAAGTATGCCCTAAAACACAACGTGACCGTGAACACCCCTTCATCTGCAACAGTCTCTGACGATGGGTTAGAGTGAGAATCCGAAACGTCAGGCCAGTGAAATTCTTGTTCCAGTGATCCCATCATCATCATCATCATCATCATCATCATCATCATCATCATCATCATCATCATCATCATCATCATCATCATCATCATCATCATCATCATCATCATCATCATCATCATCATCATCATCATCATCATCATCATCATCATCATCATCATCGTCGTCATCATCATCATCATCATCAGCATCAGCATCAGCATCATCATCATGATCATTTTCTTCTTCTTCTTCTTCTTCTTCTTCTTCTTCTTCTTCTTCTTCCTCCTCCTCCGAACGCCATTTATTATCCGCCGTTCCCATTGTTTGGAATTCCCTTCATTTCCTGACCAAACGTAAATTTATTAGCGGCGCTCTATCCAAAGTCAGTAATTTTTTGAAAATTGCCTTTCGTTTATTCCTTCATTATCATGCTCACTTTCTTTGCCAAATGACGGCGCATGATAAGATTTTCGGTAGAAATTTATCTATTTTCTGTGTCGCCTTGCTCTCCGTCCAGTGTGTTGCCACATCCATAAATCCCCTCTGCAGCCATTCAACGTATCACACAGTCTACAGGCTGGCTCAAGTTGGTTGGGGGATCCTACACACTATCGTTGCTATTTACTGATCCGTAAGACTGTACAAGAGGATCGCAGGCGGTTGGCGCCAGCTGTTTCCACAGGCATGTTGGCTCTCCTGTGCCTGCCGTTGACGTTATTAGTCCCCAGCGCGTGTGTGTGTGCCTTTCGCTCTGTCTCACTGTCTGCAAGCCAATCAGAGAGGGGGCGGCGTTGATTGGCTTGGAGAACACGCGGGGCCAGCGACAAGCCTCGCGCGGTCCCAGTAGTGAGGCGAAAGGGAGCATGGGGCGGACAGAAGGTTGACATGACAAAACGGCGGGGAGTAAGGAGGCGCAGACTGCCACAGTGTCTTGAGGTGATCTTCCTGTGGTCAGAGGATATCTCGCCAATCGGACATCAGGATTGGCATACGTACATTTAATCGAACAAAATCACCGTCAGCTACGTTTCCCAGTTGCTTTTATTCCTTATATTAATCTTTATAAGCATCCAGGTAGCAACAGCCACCGCTCCCTCCGTCCGGTTTTGGGCTGTAACTTTGCCCTCGACACTGTTATCCACTTTGACTTCCTGCAATTCTGGATGCCGCCTTAACACTCGCCACCCGATTTGAAGCATGCTGTCACCGAACGTGGACACAAGTCCGCGTGAGTATTGAGCAGAGTGAAGTTTCGATGTCCCATCAGGGTTGCTTTTTGCCAACAGTTCTCTGCAACTGCCTGATGAACTGGACTCTTCAAAAAGCGCCGTAGGTTGATTCTGGTGTTACGGTAGATCGTGGCCCTCTCGTTAAGGGTGTTGACTACTCCAAATGCATTACAGTTCTAGCGCGCTCTTTTGCAGAAATGCAGCATACTTTGTTTTGGACAATCGGAATGCAGTGGAAGTAGGTTTTTTGCTGACGGCCATCATGGCCAGGTCTGGTGTCCTTGTTCAAAACCTCAAGGTCATTCGACTTCGCAGCGAGCGATTCCAGACTATCCGACCTGCAGCCACTCAAACGACCTCAGCTTGAACACACATGCGTCCACAGAATCGCAGTAGCTCATGCGCCACTTGAACACCAACCCTCAGCAAATGCAACACACACACGACAGTTCGACCATCGGTTTCGATTATGTCCACCGTGTGCCTCACAGCTGCAGCAGCAGCAGTGGGAGCAGGGACGGTGACTTGCGCAGGGGTTTATAGTGCCAGTAGACTTACGCTGCATCTACCTATACTCTCTCCTCCTCCCCCGCCTGAGTCAGGTGTCAAGACAGAGTCAAGAAGACCGGAGACTAGGGAGACCGCAGGTGGATGACTCGGACGGATCCTCACCTTGACGTTCCACCACACCCCCGGTCCACACAACAAATAACCAGGATTTTACCACACAACAATGAAGGGCGTGGCAGTGAGCCGAGTTGTTCGACGGCTGTCGACAACAGGGGCTGCCAGCGCACCCCCTACATGTTGGCATTCGCTATTGCGCACAGATAGCGCCTGCCAGAATCCGATGTGGCTCCCGTGTTGGTCCAGCGCATCTAACACGCGGCCCGTTTGGAGGGCATACACACACACAAATTGGACACCACCTGAGCTTGTCCCTTAAGCCTCCAAAGGCAGTGGCCGCCACTGTCTCAGTAACTTTCAGGCACGACTGGACGCAGTAGTCATCACCAGCGCTGGCTTCGCCAGCGGCCCCTGTCGTCTGAGAGGACAAATCAGGGTTCTGTATAGAACAAGCCTCTCAAGCTGGCGACTTTAGCCTTCGCCTACAACAGTGGACTTGGCCTAATGATTGCAGCGCTCTGAGTTCACACTCGCCTTCTGCTTAGCTGCATTTGATTTGATCATAGGTCCTTAAAAAGTCCTTTTCTTTTACTTAATGGGGAAAGAGGAATTGAATACAATCATCGGATTAATTGAGAGTACATACAGACCCAACCCGAGTGCACAGAAATCGCTGCGTTCAGCGCGAAATCAGCCTTTGAAGCATTTTGCCCCCGGTACGAAGCTGAAGTAGGCAAGAACGGCAGGATTTATTGGTACCAAAAAATTTCGCGACTGCTCTTCAGCTGCATCCTGTCGCTTCATAAGAGAGATAACGAGTGAGAACAATACAATAGATTTGAATTCGTACAGAAAATCAATGCAGAAACAGCAAGGTCAGGGTTTTGGGCAAAGCTGGCTAATCGATAAAGTTAGCAACACAAACACCGTAGGGGAAGAAAGTGAAAAAAGGAGAACGTTAAAGAGCAAAAAAAATGAGAGGAGAGAGGGGGAATCATGGAGCTAGGGGCTACCATGGCAATGTTAGGTTAACCACGTGTTCCAATTGTTTACAAAGATCTGGTTTCACTCGTCGTATATAGGCCGCCTCCAGGTAACGCAATGTCCGAGTTGTTCGTGCCCGAAAAAGTACTCGGAAGGAAGTTTTGGGGTCGACGGTGTGACCAGTATCAAGTAGGTGTATTGTTCTCACTCGTTATCTCTCTTATGAAGCGACAGGATGCCAGCCATTTGCTAAAGCCACTCAAAGATAAAATGCCTGGTCGGTCATCTCATCCAGCCCTGGTTGGTTATAACACCGATGTGGACGGCTGCATACCCGAGTAGATATAGAATAGAATAGGTTTATTATAGCGCCCCTTGGGTATTGTCAGTTCCCTTTGAACTCAGGAAAAAAAACATAAAACAAACTCATCCATTTCGACTGCACTTTGATTTCATTTGTTTTGGGTGCTTGCTTAGCCAAGAGATCGCGAATTGAGAGTTTGTTTTACTTCATAGATGTTTTGACAGATTTTGAATACAGTGATATTTTGGCAGATTTTGAATAATTCATATTGACCTAACTGCGAAAAGCCCGACGCCTCGGTGGGATTCGAACCCACGCAGTAAGGGGAAGGCTTAAGCACAGTCAACGCTCTCACCACTTGAGCTGCGAGACCCCGCCGGACGACGCGAGCTTAAATTGCGAATCCCAACCGAGGCGCCGAGTTTTTCACAGTTGGGTCAATATGAATTATTTAAGATCTGCCAAAACATCTATGAATTACATGAGCCTGGTAGTCAGCTGGTGGATTCTAGGTGAATTACTTAGTAAATTCTGCTTGGGCAGTCAACTTACTGTGTCGGATTTGGTGGATTCCAGACGTTGCAGTAGGTTGGGTGGGTAACTTGACCCAAATGTGATTAAACTCGCGTTGGTCGGCGGGGCTTCGTAGCTCAAGTGGTTAGAGCGTTGGATGTACTAAAGCCTCCACCTTGCTGTCGTGGATTCGAATCCCACCGAGGCGCCGAGTTTTTTACAGTTGGGTCAATATGAGTTTGTTTTAAGTTAAAAAGCCCGAGTTCCAAGGCAAAATAATCGCCAAAGTTTTAAAAAAGAACCATATGTACAATACGAAAATTGAGATGTGCAGCTTGGTGGTTTTTGGGGCATAAATAATATGTCCTTCATGGATATTGAAGAACTTTGACATCGGCTCGACTTCGAAATTATTGTCGAAGGTGTCTTCTAGTTGCCGGTTGTCAGTCTATCTGAGCAGCTGCTAATGGGCGATCGCACAGTTCGCTCGTGTTTTTAAGGAGGCTTGCCATATCTTCTTGACTAAGAGCTGGAAATGATGTATATATATATCAGGAGTAAGAAACATTCAATGGTAAGTCACAATCAAAGCTGTCATGTAACATATCGTTCTTGTGAATGTGACATGATAGGATTGGTGATCGACTGTTTACTATGAGCTGATATAGTTGTATGCATGTTTGATATGACCTTGATATAGACCTACGCACAACTAATATGCAGGGTTTTATCGAAAGGGAAGTTATCATTAGCTCCTTAAGGAATAGTTAGTGTCAGGTTACATAGCTGATGGAAACGAGAAAGGAAGGACTGAGCTAGAGCACAGCTTTCGTTCTGTAACTCAGTCTGCGCTTTCGGCCAGCCGACTGGCTAAACTACGCTCGGAAGTCTACCACGGGCCAAATTACGATGGAAGGCGATTGGCCGAGACACGGTGAGCTTAAAACATTCAAACGGTTGTAGCAGTTAGGATGAATGCTGCCGCATGAAGTAGCAAATTTGTATGGACAGCGTAAAGGACAACCAATTAGTGGACTGCATGCTATCGTCTCCGAATTCATTTTTAAATTATGTTTTAGTCTTGGCAAACCGTAGTAATCGATCGTCGTAAACATCAGTTTGTTTGTCTGAATTTTCCCCGAATCAGATTTCCCACTGCGGCGAGTCTTTGCTCCTAGAGGCAGCTCCATCTATAATTTGGTAAAATGAAGATGCTCGATGTACCGAAGTTCCTCGGAGGCTGACTCATTCCGACCTGATTCACAGTCCCTCGCAGATCCTCGAGGTCGGAGGATTCAAACGGTCGAAGTCATGGTCTCTTTCGATGCAACTTCGTTATTCAAATTCGTCGCGTCAAATGTGGCGTACGAACTATTTCACAAACAAGTTGAAGGAGGCATACGTTGAAGGTCAGAGCCGGCTTCATAAATTTTGCCGAAAAACCAACCTCATCTCTGCGGGAGAATCTTTAGAGTAGACAAAAGGAACGCAATGGGTTTCCGATCTCCGGCTAAGTAGTAGAACTGGTCCTGAAATAGACAGAAAAGACTGTATTAGGCCAACATGAGCCGGCTATTTAGCCTCGTTACCTTGACGACACGTACATTGTCGTCAGGAGGAATATGCCGCAGTATTTCCATCATCTGCTTCAATCAGTCTCGCCT